GCTGGGGGGGAGGGAGGGAGGGGCTGGGGGGGCTGAGCTGCCGGCCGGGGTTAAACCACAATATATAGAACTAATGTTAAGTAGAAGTCAAATCCTTTTGAAATTCCACCCCTAAAGAGGCTTTTAAACAAAAATAGTCCACAGCCCTTACGTTCCGCTGACATGACGCTGGCAGTCAGCAAAACTTGCTGAAGTTGCTCTGGGAGAGCGTCACCTCAGATCTGCTGCCCCCGAGCTTGGAAGCAGCCTGGCGCTGAAGACCTGAGCCCCAGGGGAGCCCAGCCCTGTCCCCCCCCGGCTGGCAGGCGCCGCTGGGGCCGCTCCCCATGCCTGCTGGCACGGGTGCCACTTACCCAGACCGCACCGTGCCACAATCATGTGACTTTTTTTTTTGCCAGTCCAGGAAATCGCAGTCCCCATCCAAACTGGGATAACTTGATTGTCCCAGAGAAGCCGTGACGGTAGCCTGGGGAAAGAGGGGCACGCAGGGACCTTTGCTGCCAGCACTGCGGTGTTGGGCTGAAACGGGGCCCAGGGCTGCCGAACCGGGCTCTGCGGGGAGCGCTCCCTGCGAGCCCCCCGGCCACCCCCGGCCTTCAGCCGTGTGGCTTCTGCATCTCGCTCCTCCTTGCTGCGACTCTTCCTGCAGGCACTTCTGCGGGGGCACGGTGCTCGGCAAGCACCAGCACAGTAAACAGAGCTCAGAAAGCAGCAAGACAGACAGACTGAGGGCTGCAAGCGTTGCATCCGGACAGACAGACTGAGGGCTGCAACAGGACAGGTTTCCCGTTGGCCCCATTTCAGTGGTCTAGTCCTGCACTCCAGCAAGGATCAAGAGAGGAACTGTGGTCTAAGCTGGGAGAGACTGGAAGGATCCGGCAGAAGAGTAACGTGGCGTTAGATCACCAAGAGCTGCCAAGAGCCGCTGCCATGTGCTGGCCCTTACAACTTGATTTCTGCTGTGCCACGGCCCCGTGCCCTGGCACGGCAGCGCCCACGCCCAGGCAGTGCCATAGCCCTGTTTGGCCAAGGTGCTCCCCGTGACGCCCAGGCAGCGCCGCCGCCGCCTCCCGGGCAGCTCCGTGACTGACCGCGGGCCGGCCGGCTGCGCTTACGGGCGCTCCTGGCACTGGGTTTCTGCTCCACAGCTCCAGGGCTTTGCTGTCAAAGACCAAAACACACCAGGCTGGCTTTGAGGCGCCGCGCCTCTCCTTGCGTGCAGAGGCGGCTTCTGTAGCTGGTGTCTCCTGCCTGCCGGAAAGCAGCCCTAGCTGCATCCCCCCTTCCCTGCCCCACTCCCTCCCGCGCAGGACCTCACCTCAGCTCACAGGCGAGCGCTGGCAGCGCCGTGGGAACCTCTGTGTCTCGTCCCGCGGGATGGGTGACGACTCGCAGCACAGCGCCCATCCCACATACCCCTGGTCGGCGAGCGTGGGGAGAGGGGCACGGGAGGGTCCCTGCACGAGGCAGAGCTCCCGCCCGCCACGGGGCTGAGGTGGTCGCAGCAGGAAAAGCCGAGGACAAGACCCTGCCTGAACCAGCACCCCCCCTGCAGCCCTCCTGGCACAGCAGCTCAGGAGAGGGAGCCCCCCCAGCCCCTCACCCTTCCGTCTGCAAGGCGCTGCCCACACCGTACCCTTTACTTTTCGATGGGGACTACGGCGGGGGGGTGGGGGTGGTATTGCCCTTCTTTTTTGAAGCGCAATACTGGGATTTGCCGAATCAGCTGCACATTTCGCAGGGGCAGCTGTAACTGAACCGCAGTCTGCCAGATCCCAACCCTGCGTCACAGCCCTGGTGTGAGAGCACCTCCGGGGCAGGGGGGCTTCTGCTGCCGAGGCAAATCGGCACGGTGCAGGAGTGGTCCAGGAGCCAAACGCACGAATATTGAAACCAAACATTGCCTGGTGCTGCACCCCATAAACCAGGCAAGCCGGGCCCCGTCGCCCGCCTCGTGTGCCCCCGCCTCTTTGGACGGCAGAGCTTAGCGGGTTAAGATGATCTGCAAATTTTTCCCAGTTTTATGTTTAAAACCAAGCTGCTCTCACCTGGAAAGGCAAAAGCCGCCTCGTGGCTAGCATGCCCGAAGCGAAGGCCTCGGTGCACCCAGCAGCCCTCCCCGGGAGCCACTGAGCAGGTTCCCAGGGGTGCAGCGCAGGTATTTGCGCAGGGGAAGCAGATCTTACCCGGCAGGCCTGGTGTCCGCTATGGCTCGGTCTACGGGGATCAGATCGCTGAGGTAGACATTAAAGTTTCCTTCTTTCCATCTGCTTTTTGCTTCTTCTTGCTTATCATCAGGGACTGCCACGGGGTGACCAAACTGGCCGGGAGCCTGGGGGTCTCTCGGGGCAAGC